GAAGTTCAAAAGTTAGCTTATTAGGCAACTCAGAAATATCCTTCAATGTCTCTGAAATCTTAATTAAATTGCCAGGCTCTAGGTCCTTAGATTCTTACCAGCTAACAGTGCTTTTTTGCTTTTCTTGATCTTTGGACTATTTCTCCCCTTTGCCTACCAGTTGGAGTTAAGATCTACGTTAAAACAGCAAAAGAAAAATGTTCTACTGGGGAAAATAATCCAATTTTTAAATCCAATAGTCGCTCCTGGGAAATGTTATATAGGCTTGCTATGAGTCTTAACTGACTTGAAGACATTTAACAAGAAGACTCATATATATATATACACATAAAATCAGTGCATTATTTTATAGTTTACACAGTATTTTTCATATCTTTGTTTAGGATAACTGTATTATCTCTCTGAGTTTGATATTTTCTTGTTAAAATGAATAAAGTAGCAAAAAGTTAAACTAAAATGTATTGTGCTAAAGTAAAATGCTATGTGCTAAAAACACAAAAATCCCTTGCTTGCATATAGCTTACAGTCTATTGAGAAAGTTTCAGTACACAAATTATGTGGAACAATCTAAAATTGCTGTGAAAGCTACATACAGATTCTAAGAGTTTATAAAAACAGAAAAATCATACAGTCAGAGGGGAAAGGGAAGGGATTTCTGAGCAAGTACTGATAGAGCTGAAATCTGAAGTATCATTTCTTAGTTATCTCGTGCTTCTGTATAACACAAAAGCCTAACTTTAACAAATTCCATGACTTTAGCAAACAGACATTTTTTTCTCACACTTTGGGGAGACCAGAAGTTTGGTTCGGGGTGTTGGCTCAAGGGGAAGGCTTTCCCTGGTTGTGGGAAAGTCCTTGTCTCTTCAGCTTCTGTTTCTTGGATCCTGGTAGATCTTCCTGCAGTTTGGCATTGATCCTTCCGCCATCATGTTTGTTTAATAATCTCCTTTTTTTATGTCTTGTAACACATCCAACAAGAATCCCATTCATTAACATAACAAAGACAAGTCCATTCTCTTAATGGTATTATAATCACAGGTAAAGAAGTTAAGATTTAAAACTACAGGCATAAAAGTTAGGATTTAAAACAACTGGTGTAGTGCTGTGGACCAATACGCTGGACTGCAAAGTCCATTTGAACCACAAGGCTGCTGCTGGTTCAAGCTCATCAGCTGTTCCTTGGAAACTCTATACAGGGTCACTATGTGTTAGAACTGATTCGACAGCACTCAACAACAACAACAACATTTAGGTGGACACAACTCCACTCATAACAGATCCCTACCACTGGATCACAAGATCAGTTTGAATGCAAGGATGGAGATTAAAATTCACCAACCGCTCCTAAGAAACCCTAAACCAGGTCACTATGACTTGGAATACATTCAGTGGCACTTAACAACAACAACAGCAGGTAACTAGGGCAATGGAGTGAGAACAGTGTTCCAGGAAGAGGGAACAGTGTGTGCAGTTGTTGTTGTGAAGTGCCGTTGAGTCGATTCTGACCCACAGCGACTCTGTATAGGGTTTCCAAAGAGCAGCTGGTGAGCTTGAACCACCAACCTTGCAGTTCAAATGACTTTGCAGTCTGACATATTAGCCCACAGTGCCCACACCAGGACTCCTAGTATGTGCAGAGAACACGGCAAATACTATGAACTGGTGGGAAAAGAGATCAGAAAATGAGGAACAGAAATTCAATGGCACACCCACTTTCATCACCCTATAAGCAACAGTGCCTAGAACTCCTATGTACCTGAACATACAGGGCCCATTTATTAGTTAGTTCACCTGGTGCCTCTAACTGAGATTTGCTTGGCAAACAGTGGACTTCAGTGGAAGCCTTCTATTGCTGGCTTGATTATACGACTTTGATTTGTTCCATGAGCACAGGCTGAAGCCCACGTTTAGAGACATGTTTCTCCTTTGGCATGCCAATTTGCTCTGGACACTTAGTTTAATAGCCTTTTCTAAGTATATAATTGTGACTGTGTAGAAACCTGTGTCTACTGTCACCACACCACTTCACCACAAGGTTCAAGTTGACACAAGAGATTGATTTCAAATTGCTGGAGCTTTTTGGGAGTCTGGATTTTCCCCTCACGGTGTATGCTTTTGAAAACTCACACATAAGTAAATAATATCCTATAAGGTCCCGAAGGCATCTGGTTGACTTGGTTAAAAAGTGTGAGCTGGATTTTCCCCAATTTAAATCACTCCTGGTAGCACAATGGGTCATGAATTCAGCAGTTTGAATCTACCAGTCGCTCCTCAGGACAAAGATGAGGCTTTCTGTTCCTGTAAAGATTTACAGCCTCAGAAACCCTATAGAGGGTCGCTATGAGTCGGAACCGACTCGGTGGTAACACAACCATCACCAAGTTACCTCTTCTGTTTTATAAAGGAGGTTCTGACTATCCACCCCTATAAGCATTTTTCCCATTTACCACGTTCCTCTCTCTCATCTGGCTGCTTTTGGAAACAGGTGATATATCTTTTAATGTATTGGAATAAAAGATCGGCAGATTTTCTAGATATTAATGTGAGTGCTGCAATGAATATACAATCAGAGGACAAGAGTGGTTACATGATTTTTTTTTCTCACACAACAGAAAAACTATTCACTTAATACCCTGTGCTTAAGGGTAATGTCATTTTGTATAACTTACCATTTTGTAATGATTGGAGAATATTAACTTACTAAAAGCACAAGTCGATAAAAAAAAAAAAAAATCATAGTCCATGAACCAGCACATCAGAAAAAGGACAGAAATGGCAAATGATAGCATGAATTTATGACATTTCACATTTCAGATACCAGCTTATTTTACAGAGATGACTTTAATGACTTTAGAACCTTTATATAAAGTTGAGTAAATCCGGAGCAGTTAAATTACGCTATATTCCTAATTCTAAGCCCCTTTTTACAGAAAGCAAAAATCTAAACCTCAGTAAGAGCTTCCTGGAGACTGATTAGAATCAAATTACTTTGGGTTTCCATCTCTTCCATGCATATTTATTTAGCATTAACAAAGACAGAGGGTACTGAGTTGGGTAAGATATTATCAAGAGCTCATAAACCAGTGGAGAAAACACAAACACAATTATCTACACTACAGGGCAAAGGTAGTTAAAGTTTCCAGTCAACTTCTATATCTAATGTTTCAAATCGAGTTCTGTGTGTAATAATGAAAATTAGAATGAGAGTTGGCTTAGAGGAGAAGCCTTCTCCAGGTTGGTGAAGGGGATCTTAGGAAAGTAACATTTCAGTGTTTTGTCCTGTCCCCTGACATCTGTCCAAGCAAAAAGAGATGACAGGACCCTAAATATGGAGAAGAGAAGTGACAGAGAATATTGACCTGTGCTTTTTCCTGTTGGGTTAGATCAGTAAGATTTTCTTTAAAGAGTATTTAAAGCAGTAGTAAGAGAAACGCTAAAGGGTTATAGAAAAGGGGGATGTTCTGGAAAGCCTTAAACTGAGAAGAACAATTAGAAACAACAAGGACTTCTAATAAACGAAAATCAGATAGTTGGTTAAAACCAGAAATGGATATTAAAACTGTTTTTAATTCTAGCTAGGTATCTAAATATCTTCATATGTTTTTTGTATTTTTTTTTCCCCATTGAAAGGAGCAACCTTTTAAATTCCATAGGATCTTAATATATTTTATCTACACATGTATCCAGTGGTCATCAAGTTAATTCCAACTCACAGTAACTCTGTACCACACAGGAGATCTGCTGCTTGGTTTCCCAGACTGTAAATATTTATGGAAACAAACTGTTACATTCTTCCCCATGGGGCAGCGAGTGGGTTTCAATCGCTGACTTTTTGGTTAGCAGCTGAGTGCTTAACCATAGCGCTACCAGGGAACCTACATACATTTTCACACACTTTTAGTAAGTCTTTGCCAAATGAGTGCTGCCCATAATTTGGTTTTCTGCTATAGCAATCTTTCATGTTGAGTCTATAAGGATAAAATGCAGACTTGACTGAGCAGCCCCTAACAGAGAGCCTGCACAGAGACTGGTTTTGAATGTAGATTCACAGGTGGTTTAAAGGCTGTTTGGTGCCCAGCACTGAGGATTTCTAAAACAAATCCTTGAAACAGGTGATTATTTTCCTTACAAATCTGCAATCTTTTCTCGTGGACTCATCACCAATGAGAAGAGAGTACGGAACACTGGAAAGCATTGAGAGTTTGGGGACACAAGTCTGGGCTAGAATCTAAGCTCCACCACTAAGCTGCTACATAAACCTGGGCAAGTTCAGAAACTTTTCAGATTCCCAGTTTGAGCATCTGTGAAATGAAGATTCATCACAGGATGAAGCACGTGGCCTGATACACAGAGGACACTTAGCAAATGTGTCTTCCCTCCCACCTGGTAATAAATACGTCATGTGGAAAGTAAAACCCCGTAGACGAAAAGTTTTCCTTCAATGGGATACTAACAACAAAATTATCAGGAAGCATAATAACTTCCGATACAAATACATTTGTTTTTGTTACGTGTCGTCAACTTGTTTCCAACTCACAGTGACCTGGATAGGATTTCTAAACAGCAGCTGGTGGGTTTGAACCACTGACATTGCTGTCATTATGCTGACTCCATCTATATGTATGTGTCTATCTCTACTGCAGACTAGAACTGCCCAGAGTATTTCCAGCGCAGACTGTCACATCTTTCAGGCACCGAAGGGCTGATGTGTCCCAACCACCAACCTTTGGCTTAGCAGGTGAGATTTTTAACCACTGTGCCACAAGAATTCTATAAATACAACTTACATAACTTTATGGAAACTATACATTTTAGGCCTAAGTAAATGGCTACACTTTCTGATAGCTACTAAAAAATAAAATTAGATTAACAATACGATTGAGAGTCTGCTGTACTCATTTAAGCAACATTTCTCCAGCATGGCCGACACGTTTTGTTAGAGACAATGTCTACTTAGTACGGTGGGATTCTAAAAGCATGATGAAAGCATTGCAACTTACCCCACCAACTTTCTCCAAGTGAGATCCTTCTTTCTTAAAATCTGTGAGAGCCCCATTGAAATACCAGGTAAACATGATATCTAACAGAGGGTCATGTTGCACTTGGCAAGGCAGAATGATGCTCTCACCAACTGAGACATCCATGTTCGATGGTGCCAAAATTATTCTTGTTGGTTCTATTGGAGGAAAAAAATATTAAAGGGAAGCTTTTGCATTTTTGTTATGGTGAAAACAATTTTCACAGCCATAAGGCTAACCATAGTGGGTGTGTAGGCACACATATATGCACATAAATTGATGTTGTAGTTAAATGTCTTTGAGTCAGTTCTAACTCATAATGACCCTGTATAGGGTTTCTGAGTAGCTGTTGGTGGGTTTGAACTATTGACCTTATGGTTCTCAGTACAGTGCTGATCCTACAGTGCCACACCAGGAGTCCACATAAATAAATAAAGACTGCTAAATTGAAGCAGACAATTGGACAATTGGATATAGAACTATTGCATCTTTCTATGAATTCACAAATTCTTGTTATACAAATAAGAATTCTTGCTACAAGAATAAGAATGTTTGAATTTATAGGAAAGCCAGGTTGAAAATCCAAAGTTATCTATAAACACGGGTCAAAAGACTATTTTAAAACCAACTTCAACACAGTTTGATTGTTTCTGAAATACAGAGATAGAAAGAGAAGCCATTGTGTGTTCCTCCAACACCGAGTGACTTGCAAATACACTAGTATCAACATAAATAGACATAAACATTTATGATTACCATGGGTGGACGGACTCTATACAGAAGAATGTTAGAATAGTTCAATTTTTAAAAAAGCCAAGATGGGGGAGTATAGTATGTTAAAATAGTACTTAATGCCTGTTTTCCCTCCATGTAAATATCTACATGCATTTCGCCTTCTCCTTGTCATCTCCAGAGCTTCCATTCAGAGTGGTTTAAACTTCCCAGGTTGCCACTCTTCCACTGTTGCTCCTCATGTTTTCCCTCTAAATTGCAGCAAATGTCCTCAAAAGAGTTGAGGATCTTTATATGGTGTCCGTTATTCCTTGATGAAGTCATCTCTGTAACCCTTTCTAGTCAGGATCTTCCTACTCTCCAATCGCCTGTTCTCATCAGGGGAACCAATAACCACACTGCTGCTAAGTCCAGCGGGGACATTTTTGTATCTTCTTTTGCTTGACTCAGCAGCATCTGCTATACTTGATCATGATTCCTCCTTATTAATTTTCTTTGCTTAGTTGCTGAGACACAATGTTCTTAATTTTTTCCTCTATGCTAGTCATCTCTTTTTTGTTTTCTTTTCTCCAAAATTTTAATATTGGAGTCTCTAAAGCTTAATCTTTGGTCTTTATTATTCTATGTTGTCATCACTCTTTCATGATTTCATCTAGTCTTAACAACTCCTGAATGTATGTCTCCATCCCTGGCCATTCTCCTCAAGTCCAAATTCATACTGACTCAACAACCTCACTGGGATGCTGTGGCAGACAGTGTAGTTCAACATAGTTTTCCTTTTTCTCTTTCAGAGCATGGAGTATTATGCATAACATGATCATACTAACATCTGGAAAAACTAATGAGCAAGTCTGCCCTCTTTCACCTTCCATGGTGAAAGGCAATGTGTCAGGTCGTGGAGATACTGGAACCTTCATTCCGAAGTGTAGACAACATAGCTGACCCACCATGAACTTGAAGAATGAGCAGAAAGTGTTAATCCACTAGGAACTTGGCTTACTTTATTATTGCAGAATACTCTGGGATCTACTTTCTGAACATAGAACCCAAATAAACCTTTCAAATCTGACATCTCCAAAATGAACTCCTGATCTCCTTACTCATCAATCTCCAGCCTTCCCCTTCTCAGTTGTTTGGATTGTCATTCTTCCTGTGGCTCACTGAACATACTATCTCCTTTCTATCTCTTAGACTTCACATCTAATCTGTCAACAATTTCTGTTGGCTCTAGATGAAGAATATTTGCAGAATCTGATCCTTTCTCATTCACTTCTTACTTGAGCTTGTCATGATCAGCTTGGGCCATTACCAACTCTTTCCTGGATTCCTGCAACAGCCTCTGAGACATTTACAACTTCTACCCTTGACTCCCCATTATCATCAGAGCGAGTAGAGTGTCCATTAACAATCATGTCATTCTTGCTTGTATCCTTGTATTGGCTCCACTTTTCTCTCCAATTATAAGCTACAGTCCTAACAGTCTTCAAGACCCCCCTAGAGAATTGTTCCCAAGAAGTCTGTTGATTCACTCCTCATATCCAAAAATCTTTTATCAAATTTCTCCTTTGGAATAAGGCCTGCTCTGATCATCTCATGTCATTCTCTATCTTGCCTCTTCCCACAAAATGCTCTGCTCTTTTTCAATTGTTTGTAATTTTTCTTGAAATAATTAACTCATTTCTTACTCTAATTACTTCCACTGGTAGAATGTAAGATTCAAGAGGGAAAATTTTGTCAGTTAACTGTTATAACCCAAGAGCTTGGAAGGCAGTAGTTACTCTAAATTTTTTTTGTGAATGAGTGAATAAAATATATACAGTACTATAAGCAATGCTTACTGATATCAATCATTATTCTAAGAACTCTAATATTTCCAAAATATATCAAAGGTAATAAAAAAGAAACGTAAAGCCAAAATATGACATAATTGCTATTATTATGTGCCTTGGAGT